GCCTGGAAAAGCAGCCACTTTTACACAAGCACTCTGTATGACTCACTGTTTTGACTTTCTGTTTGGTGCTGTTTTTTCTTTTTATTGCTTTTTCTCTCCAAAAGAGAAAAAAATAAAATCATTTACACACCACGTTCACTACACACACAGGCAAAAACACACACACACCATTTTTCTCATGCTTTAAACCATCCTCTTGCCTGAGGTATCTATTACACACTTATTACAAATGTTATTCTGTGTGATTATGTCCTAATATTGCTTAATTTTGTAATGAAATCAGTGCTCCTGATGTTTCTCTTTTAGCTAATGCATTTAGACTCATTTGGGGAGGGCAGTGTGCAGGGCAGTGGAGGCTGTGTGATGTAATATGTTGTGTTTGCAGTTATGAAACACTGAGTAAATGTTTGTCTGCAAACCACCGCTGCGAGCTGAAAGCAGGCGTGCTTTCTTTTCTTTTTTTTTCATATAACTCTTTCCCTTTGAACCTGGTTTATGAAATACTCCACAATGTAGAAAAGGTGATGGAGGTTCTGCAAAACCCCCAACTCTATTTATGTCTCTACTGCAGAGCTAGAGAGGAGGGATTAAACGCCACACTGTGCAGTCAGTGCAGAGCTGCCTTGCTTTATTAACAGAATCAGTATATATGAGAAAAGGCAGCGAGGAAACCAAAACATTACATGGGAAACAAAAATGGATTTGCATGTTTATACCTTCAGTAAACCCACACGACTCTGTGTAAAGCTCCCTGTCTGCTCACTGGTGATTCAGGCACTTGTTGCCATGGCCCAGCTGAATTCACATAGTTAAATGAGGGATATCGGCATGAATGTGTGACTCACCAAATTGCAGCCTTTTTCAAACGGTCCTGTAGATGTTCATTTTCTCTACTAAGCTCAATTTGCCTCCGTTCTGCTGCTTCTAAATGTCAGCGGTCGACAAATTGAAACTCCAGCGGTAAACGTATTACTTTGTACTTCCTAGACTTCATGCATACAGTCCTGCAAAGGTTCATCGCTCAGTTATTCTGCAGAGCTTACGCTAAGAAAGTGGTGTTTAGGTGCACGAGGGTTTAAGACGGAAAGGTTTTCTCTCATCTGTTTCTGCCTCATGTAACACATCACCGTGTGTCTATCTCCCCTTGGTTTTTAGTAAAAATCATAGTAATAAACAGAAGCTACTGAGGAGGTGTACTGCTCGGAAACATAGGTACACAGCATCTCTGCTCCCTGTGACATGAAGTTTTTCTTTGGGAATGCTGACTAATTCTTGGTGCATGGGTATCTGTAGGAGGCTGTGCAGCCTCAGAGAGAGCAGAGCCAGAAAACCCTGCAGGGAGACATCAGTCGCCTTCATAGTAACACACTATCTGCCTTTTGTTTGATATTTGCCTGAGCAATGCGCTAT